CCAACTATATGTTGTCTGTACGTCTGTCACTGATAACAGATGATTTCTACACATATCGATAAAAAAATAATTTGATTAAGCAATAATACTTAAGTGATAAGATAGAGGCCTTGGTACCAATCTATACTAATATTATAAAGAGGTAAAATTTGTAAGTTTGTATGTAGGGGGTAATATCTGGAACCGCTGGTCGGATTGCCAAAACTCTTTTATTTATAGCTACAATGTTCCTGAGTGCTATAGGCTATAAAACATCACGCTACGATCAAAATTAAATGGAGCCGAGCAATGGATGAAATCGCACGAGAATATCCCGTTCATATGTATTATAAAGAGGTAAAATTTTTAAGTTTCAAGTATATAGGGTCCAGGCGTTATTGAGTTATGCGCTTACCAACATATTTTGCGATTCATTTTTATCTATACTAATATTATAAAGAGGTAAAATTTGTAAGTTTGTATGTAGGGGGTAATCTTTGGAACCGCTGGTCGGATTGCCAGAATTCTTTCACTGATAGATAGCTACAATGTTCCTGAGTGCTATAAGCTATGAATTCAAAACCGGGGGCAGAAGCTAGTCTTAAATATTTTGAACAGGAAAGATGAAGGAATAGAAATAGAAGAAAAAATTACTAGCGAGAGCCGTACTTGGGGTGCCCGACCGGAGTGATACCACGGCCTCACAGAAAACCAGCGTGAAACAACCACAGTATTCTGTTTCGAAGTATGGATGAAGTTACCAGAGACCCAATACTTCTTGCCCTAACCCAATCCCTTAAATCTCCGGATCCCTAATCTCCAAAAGGCCGGTCGCACTTGTAACTCCTCGGATTTTGCGTAAGTCCACTTGAGGCGCCGATTTCTTACCATCAGGTAATCCGTCCGCACGTTTTACACTTTACAGTCCAATGACATGAAAATAAAAAACCGAGTGGTCCGGCTAAATATAAGACTGAAGTGATACCAATATTTAGAGAAATCTGCGAAAGCGCTTTTCATGCGTATTTTTTTTCTTTAAGGGGAAATCATCAAATGACTTCTCCCGCCCAAGGCCGGGCGGGAGGGAGTGTCAGACTCCTATTGACTAAAAACCCCCTGTTCCTTCTCCTGCTCTGGGCCGAGGTCGCGGTGCCACATTGCGCTTACCCCGTAACCCCGGCTGAACATCAGCCCTATAGGGCCCCGTCTGTGGTGGTCTATTGTCTCTTTGCATGCTTGTGTTGAGCTATCTGAGATATTTCATCAGAAGTCAGATTAACTACTAAAAGAACGCGATGGCTTGGCAATCGGCGTTTACCGCATGGAATAACTCTTTGGTGTGATCCACAAATTGTTGTTCCGGGTCTGGGTGTGATGTGTATGTGACATTGTATGTTTGTAAACGCATCCGTGATACAGGAATATATACAACGTTTCTTTAGAAATGAAAATAAAAATTATATTCTATATCACATAATAAGCTATAATTATAGATATATACTTAGTCGGGTCATAAGTTCTGTCAAAACCTTATATTTTTAATTTTCGATTACTGGCCAGAAATTCTTCGACTTATTTTAAAAATAGAACTTTCGCGCTTGTAGAAAATAAAAAAGAAATTATTTTTTATTCATTTTTAAATATGGAGTGGTCGAATAAAGAAGACAGAATCGCGGTTATCGCGTTGCACCGCTGTGGTTACGCGCCAAAAGACATTTTCAATATTCTTCAAAATTTGAAAATAACGTTACGGTTTGTTTATCGTACTATCAAACGATACACCGAAGAGTCAAGCTTCGAAGATCGTAAGAGAAGCGGCCGACCTCGCACAGTTCGGACACATAAGGTCATCAAAGCAGTGAAGGCGCGAATCGAACGAAATCCCGTACGTAAACAAAAAATCCTAGCTCTGCAGATGGGGCTAAGCAGAACCACTGTTAAAAGAGTACTAAATGAAGACCTGGGACTACGAGCTTATCGTAAAAAGACAGGACATTTTTTGAACGAGCGTTTAAAAAAAATTAGGCTAGACAGATCCCGCGCTTTGCTACGACGGTACGTGGGAAAAAAATACCGCGAAATTCTTTTTTCGGATGAAAAAATTTTTACTATTGAAGAAAGTTTTAACAAACAAAATGATAAGGTGTATGCCCACAGCAGTGAAGAAGCAAGCGCGCGTATTGCGAGGGTCCAGCGTGGGCATTACCCTTCCTCATTCATGGTTTGGCTTGGAGTCTCATATTCAGGCGTAACTGAGGTGTTTTTCTGTGAAAAAGGTGTGAGAACTAGTGCCGAAGTTTATCAAAATACTGTCCTAACAAACATAGTGGAACCTCTTTCTCAGACAATGTTCAGGAACAGGCATTGGATATTCCAACAGGACTCTGCACCGGCTCATAAGGCACGAAGTACGCAAGACTGGTTGATCGCTCGTGGAATTGACTTCATCCGGCATGAAGACTGGCCCTCTTCTAGTCCAGATTTAAACCCACTGGACTACAAGATATGGCAATATTTGGAGGAAAAAGTCTGTGCTAAACCTCACCCGAATTTGGAGTCTCTCCGAGCATCTCTGGTTAAAGCAGCGGCAGACATAGATATGAATGTGGTGCGTGCAGCGATCGATGACTGGCCGCGTAGATTAAGGGCATGTGTTCAAAATGGGGGAGGGCATTTCGAATAATGTAAATAAAATTATATTGTACATTTAATGACCTTTCATTTCATATATAATTTTTAAATAATTGTCAAAAGGCGTATAAGTTATTACATCAAAAGTTTGTGACAGAACTTATGACCCGACTAAGTATATGTATATCAATAAAAATTGATTCGTGTGTCCTTCTGTTTATTTTATTTATTTACTAGCTACTCTCGCGCAGTTTCACCCGCTGCATTTAATCGTAGCGTGATGTTTTATAGCCTATAGCACTCAGGAACATTGTAGCTATCTATCAGTGAAAGAATTTTGGCAATCCGACCAGAGGTTCCAAAGATTACCCCCTATATACAAACTTATAAATTTTACCTCTTTATAATATTAGTATAGATTAACTAGCGACCCATCCCGGCTTCGCAAGGGTACAATGCTGAATTTGAAATGAAATTTTTCCACTATAGTCATAATTTTAATTCGATTCCTGATTTGACATTGACCACTGTCATTTTGTGAAATAATGATACCACATTTAACAGAGTAGTGATGAGAACACAAAAATCGATAAACAATCAGTGAATCAGTTTCAGGAATGCATTTAAAAAATTACGGCTACCGAATGGTCTAAATGCGTATCCCATGTTGTAAAGAAGAGGAAAAAATGAGTAAGCTAGATATGTTAATTGACAATAAATATCACAGACACAATTCATAATAAATGTTACAGAAAGTAACAGCGATTGCGATAGTGATGACGGCCACAATTTATAAAATTTCTGTTTTATTTGTCATGTTCCTTCATGATCACATTTTTTATTAATTTCACACACAATTACAAGAGAAACGTCTCAGATCGTTAATTAATTGTCAAAACTAAATTATGGGTTCAGAAATATTTTATTTCCCGATAAACTTAGTTTACGAAACGAGAGGAATCGATTCAGAAATATTCGATTTCCATATCGAATAATTTCGCAACGTCACTATTTAGTACGTGTCACAACGTTGCAACAATGAAATTGTCAAATCTGGAATGGAATTAAAATTCCGAGTATAGTGTTTCAATGTTAATCTACATAATATCAACCTAGTTACGAATTATCTGATGGCAAGCAATTAACATCGCCCATGGACACGTGTGCGTTGGCAACCTTTTATTATGTATGTTAGTTATTAGGGCCTAAAAAACCGCATCAAAATACGTTGTGTAGTTTTAAAGATAAAATTTAAAATGGAATAAACGATTTTGACTTTGTATTTGTCTTTCAAATACTGTTTGTATTATCATGACGTCATTACATGATAAATTCCATTCTTTGTTTTTATTCTTTAAAAAATCTGTTCATCTTTTCTTTGTACATCGTACCTAAATATTTTTTGTTTATGGAATAAGTCGACAAACGAGCAGACGGATTACCTGATGGTAAGCAATCGGCGCCACCCATGGACACCCGCAACATCAAAGAACTTACGGATAAAAGGTTTGGGAAGGAATAGGAGAGGAGAGGTAACCTCGCTCACACGTCGAAACACAACGCTGTGGTTGTTTCACGCCGGTGTTTTTTGAGGCCGTGGTATCACTCCGGTCGAGCCGACCCATTCGTGCGTTCGAGCTTTTATTTTGAGGAGGTTTCGCCGTGTGAGTGAGGTTACCATAGGCCCAATCCCTCCGCCTGCCCGAATCCTTAAATATACGAAACCTTTATCTCCAAAAGGACGCACTCGTTATTTCTTTAAACCGTCGCTCTTTTGCCGACCTATACTATAAAAAAGACACACACATTGAGGAAAAACACTCTCAAACACTTACCAAAACGAAAACAAAATTAAATCAAAATCCAAACTTAATATTATAAATGCGAAAGTAACTCTGTCTATCTGTCTTTTCTTCACGTCTAAACTGCTGAACCGATTTCTGTGAAATTTAGTACAGACATAGTTTGGAACTCGAGAAAGGACAAAGGATAGTTTTTAAACCAAAAATCTGCAGAAAATCACTAATCCACGCGAACTAAGTGTGGGAGAGCCATGCTTCGGCACGAATGGGTCGGCTCGACCGGAGTGATACCACGGCCTCACAGAAAACTGGCGTGAAATAACCACTGCGTTGTGTTTCGCCGTGTGAGTGAGGTTACCGGAGGCCCAATCCTTCCCCTTCCCCAATCCCTCCTCAATCCCTAAATCTCCAAGTCCCTAATCCCTAAAAGGTCGGCAACGCACTCGTAACTCCTCCGTTGCGAATGTCCATGGGCGGCGCTGATTGCTTACCATCAGGTAATCCGTACGCTCGTTTGCCGACCTATTACATAAAAAAAAAACTAAGTCTCGAGCAAAAACTAAGTAAAAAATAAAATTAAAAACTCACCTGTTTTCAACTATAACTAGTTATCAAAAAAAAAAGTATTCTCACGAATAAAATAAACAATAAACATTAGCGTTCACAACTCACTGATATGATAATAAAACAATGCGCGATTATTTTTGTTTTATTTATTTTCAAATTCAATTTCTTTTTTGTCCTTAATTTACGTAGTTACAAGATAGGTAGATGATAAAGTTATTTTTACATATTATTATGTATATTTATATGTAGGTATCTACCTATATACGTACACAAAAGACGTCTTGCCTCGACCGAAGATAATGCGTAGTGTGTAAATATGTAGTTTAGACAATTATTTATTTAGACGATCGACTGTGATCGGAGACACTGTAAAATTAAATGCACAGAAGTGTAATTTCGTTTTTATATCACACTAGCTTTTTCCTACGGTTTCGCTGTCGTCGTTTGAGTACCTACACTATCCTACCTAGTTACCTTTCCAACACTATCTAACCTACCCTACCCTACCTACTCTACCCAAGCCTACCTACTCTACCCTACCCTACCTACTCACGGCCAGCCTTAGTTGAGGCCATGGTGCAGAGCAAGAGGAACTGGGAACCATTTCCTCTTTCTGTGAAGCAGTTATACTCGCAAAGAAGAAGGCAGACCGCGTGACGGAGCTATCCTAATCGAGCCCCAATCACCGCAATAAGCGACAGTCCGGGCGTCGGGGATCCAGAGATATAATGATCAGATCAGATCACTGGAGAGCGGGGATCTGCGGGCGGCGAGTAAAGGTAGCCTGACCATAACCAGACCCGAGCGTACAGCGCGTAGCGTTCCGCGCGCGCCTCAAAGAGCCAATACACCACCACAGACGGGGCCCTATAGGGCTGATATACAGCCGGGGTTGCGGGGCAAGTAATGAGTCACCGCGACCTTGGCCCAGAGCAGGAGAAGTAACGGGGGGGTTTTAGTCAGTAAGACTCTGACTCTCTCTCGCCTTACCCTGGGCGGGCGGAGTCATTTATGATTTTTCCCTGACCAAAAATAAAAAAAACTATACAAACAAAATAATTTTGTTAAATAAATATACAAAAGCAATTTATCTTGATTATTTTTATAAAAAAACTAATAAGCGAAATTTGACGCAAAAAAAACTCAAGACGTCAACGACACATTTGCGTAAAAAAATCAAAGAAAATTTTCAAACTACTCGACCTTCTGATATACTTACTTTTATCTTGTGATACCACTTATATAAGAAGTACCTTCGATAAATTTCTCTCCCTTATCTCCACAACTGAATGGTGTCATTGATTGAAGATATGGACATCCTGTAGCCCTTTTCTCAAAGGAAGGTTATAAGCTATCTATTATCATTCTTGGTAATAGAGTTTAAGTGCGAAATAGCCATGATTCGGCACGAAAGGGCAGCTCAACCGGAGTAAGACCACAACCTCACAGAAAACCGACGTGATACAACCACAGCGTTGTGTTTCGCCGTGTGTGTGAGGTTACCGGAGACCAAATGCTTCCCCTCCCCCAATCCCTAAATCTCCAAATCTTTTGGGGCACTTAACGCACTCGTAGCTCCTTTTTTCTTGCGGGCGGCGCTGATTGCTTGCCATCAGGTCTGGTAATCCGTCAGCTCGTTTACCGACCTTCTACATAAAAAACAGAGCAGAATCTTTATGGCCGAGGCGTTTTTTCAAGAAGGAAAAATCATTGAAACAATTTTGGTATCTATGAAACATGATTTTTTGTAAACATAAAAATATTCTTATGCAGGCCATTTCTTATCTGACTACTCTGAGAAGTAATGATGAAACAAACTCAGGACATTTCAAAGGATAACAACCTTCTAATATCTTTATCTGAATTATCAGTTAAATTTTTTATGATATTACAACAATATTGTAATATCATAATTAATTAATTACATTACAATATCATAAAAAATTAATTACAATTGTTTAGACTAGCAGAATGTCGGTCCTTATAACAGCTTGGAGTTGTCATGCTCACTGAAAGGTCACACTGGCGGTGGCATGGACGCTGGATCGCTTAATTCCCTATAATATGGTTGAGTTGGGCGATGCTGGTGTACGTGTCATGTTCGTGAACGGGCGCCGTCAGTTGGGACTGGTCAGCTCCAGACTGTCTATTGTCCTTAAGGTTACTTTATTTATTTATTTTGTGATATTTTTATTTATTTATTTATTTATTTATTAATTTATATTTAAACATTACATTTTTATATTTGAATAAATATTAGTGTTACACTGTTCTCACATAATTGAACCAACTGTTTGTAAAAGGAATCTGTATGTGAAACTGATTTAAAAAGAGTAACCATGGAGTTTCTTGGTCGTTCTTCTCCATCGGAATCTACACTTTGGAACGAGCAAATAGCTTCACTAAGAGGACTGATCGACAGACTGACACGATATCTTCAAAATTTTGTTTTGACGTTCAAAAGTGCCTGTAAAGGTCTAATTGTAATAAATGATTTTTGTCTTTTTTTTTTTGTTGGTCACATTGATCCTTGCGTCACACCCTACACAGTATTGTATCGCAGAGATATGTAATCTTACATTTGTCAACAACGACACTTAACGAACTGCCTTCGAAGGGTCTTAAGGTATTATTAATACAAAAACACCTTAGGTAAGTAGCAAAGAAGTTAACAGGCCCTGAAACGAAATCATTACCTAATTGCAATTCTGGCCAGTATTAAACCATTATCAACTCTATCGAACGCCTTACAGAAATTAAATAAACAAAATCAATCATCATCTTGCTTAGTGTCAGGTAAAGCATACAAAGTTCGACGTTAGGACGAACCATATTTCGGCACGAATAGATGCCCTAATGGTAAGCAATCGCAGACATCCGCAATATCGAAGGAGTTACGAGAGCATCGTCGGCCTTTTATGGGTTACTAGCTACTCTCGCGCGGTTTCACCCGCTGCTCGGCTCCATTTAATCGTAGCGTGATCTTATAGCACTCAGGAACATTGTAGCTATCTAACAGTGAAAGAATTTTGGAAATCCGACCAGCGGTTCCAAAGATTACCCCCTACATACAAACTTACAAATTTTACCTTTTTAAAATATTAGTATAGATTAGGGTTTGAGGATTTAAGGACTGGGGATGGAAGCGGGGGAAAGTTTGGAAGGGGAAACACAACGTATTTTGACGAACGAAGTCGCATGCAGAAAGCTATACTCGGAATTTTAATCCCATTCCAGATTTGACAATTTCAGTGTTGCAACGTTATGACACGTTCTAAATAGTGACGTTGCGAAATTATTCGATATGGAAATCGAATATTTCTGAATCGATTCCTCTTGTTTGTAAAATTACTCTCGTAAACCAAGTTTATCAGGTAATAAAATATTTCTGAACCGATAATTTAGTTTTGACAATTAATTAACGATCTGAGACTTTTCTTTTGTCAATTACAAACAAATATGGTGTGTGAAATTAATAAAAAATATGATCATGAAGGAACATGACAAATAAAACAGACATTTTATAAATTGTCGTCGTCATCGCTATCGCTATCGTTGTTACTTTCTGTAATATTATTATGAATTGTGTCTGTGATATTTATTGTCAATTAACATATCTAGCTTACTCATTTTTTCCTCTTCTTTGACAACATGGGATACGCATTTAGACCATTCGGTAGCCGTAATTTTTTTTAAGCCTTCCTGAAACTGATTCACTGATTATTTATCGATTTTTGTGTTCATCACTACACTGTTTTATGTGGTATCATTATTTCACAAAATGACAGTAGGTCATGTCAAATCAGGAATCGAATTAAAATTTTGACTATAGGTAGTTAAAAAATTGTTTCTTCGAGCAATGCGAATTAGGCAGTTTAAAATCCCCCATATAAATAAAAAATAAGATACTTTTAAAAACACATATAATACATTAGTGTTAGTATAAGATATAATTAATAAAATTTATTTGTTTTCTCGTAGTTACTAATTCCTTCCCATTATAATTATGTGTTTGAACGTGAGAACTTAAGTACCAAAAAAATAATTTAAAAAAATGTATTCTTACTTATTATTCGTTATCTTTATAAGTTATTTAGTACATCTACATAATATATATTTTTTTCTTATAATACTTATTATCTATTTTCAGTTTTAACCTTACTTTTAAAATATAATATTTTTAATACCTAAGAACAAAAGTAATTATTGGCCATGGTGACCCGGACGTTAAGGCGTTCGCTTCTCATACATGCGGGTACGTGTTCGAACCCAATGTGACTATTTCTGAGTTTTTACGTATGTACTTTCTATGGTTATTTTAATCATTTAACTTAGTGTCTTTGGCGTTTCCAATGAGCGGTGGTGACTGCTTACCATCAGGTGTCATAGGAATAGATTAAGTCAGCCTTTATTTAGATTGGCAAAAATGCATAAGTCATTCCAGGGATTCTGTGATAAATGTAATAAATGAATTGGATTGAAAAAGAGTAACCATGAAGTTTCTTGCTCGTTCTTCTCCATAGGAATCTACACTTTGGAACGAGCAAATAGCTTCACTAGAGGACTGACGGACAGACTGACACGCTTGAAGTAAATGCTCTTGAAATATTTTTTCTTATTTTTATGCTTGATGTTCAAAAGTGCGGTCTATTTGAAATGCTTTGAACTTTGACTTTGTGATCCGTATACTCGTTTTTCCCAAAAGTAAACCAACATCTTTGAAGACTTCAGTGTCTTATATTGAGGAAGACGGGGTTTCAAGTGTGATTCCACTAAAGAAGTTCTATCGACAGTGGATTCCTGTGTTTAGGACTTCTTGCCTTAGAAAGGCATCTGTTAGGAGTAGATGTATTACACCTTCACAACGTCTGCATAACATACCTATATCCAATTGTGTAGTTTCCAAGGTCAAAAATAAATTAATTCGACGTTTCAATACAATCAAATATTGAAAAACAACTATACTTTTATTTATAGATCGATCGATACACTAAGTTTTAGGTTCTTTTAGCTAATTTTTAAGAAATAAGTAAGCTATTTGACGCAAAAATGTTATGACGTCATAGCTCAGTTTTTCATTCAAATTTCATAGAAAGGTATCGTTTTTGACGTTTGGATAAAAGTATTGAATTTGACTTGTTGGAAACTACAGTATTCTTAAACATAATATTGTATATAATTAGGTTATGCTACTGTTTATATTAACATTTACTGAAACTTGATATTTTTTCTGACAGGAAAATAATATAAACGAGCTCGTAGCTCTAGTATAGGACTATTCCTCGTGTATATATATGTATAG